CTCTCTCCCTGTCTCTGAGTCTCCGTCTCTTCGCGGCCAAGCGATAACTCGTGCGTCTGTTGAAGAGTGGCCTCCATTTTGCGCAGCAACCGCTGCGCCTGAGCTCGTCGATCTATGGGGGCAGGAATCATCGCCGATGGTGTGCCCTGTGCTCGCTGCCCTTGCGGCCCGAGTCGTGTCCTCGGTCTCACTCGTCGCCCTCCTCCATCATCTCCATCTGCCGCCCGTGGTTTGGGTACGTAATCGGAGTCCCCTGCATTATCAGTGTCTGTGGTCTCTCCCGGGGCGACATCTGTGCTATCGTCGTGGACGATAAGTACACTGCCGCATCTCTTTTGACCTGCCACTGCATTCCCTATGCCCTCCCTGCCGACGATATCCACCGTCGTTGCATCCCTCCCTCCAACATCCAATGCGTCGCCGTCAGGTGCAATCTCTCCGTCCTCGAGATGCACAACGCCCGATCCTCTCTCTCGGGAACGCATATGTGAGGATGAACGTGACGCCTTCCTTGCCGAGGCCTTCTTCCTTGCCCGAGAAAGACTCGCCTTTGCGGCTCTCGTAGAGTGGACATCAGACGTCTTCGTCGGCAAAGCACTCCCGTGTCGGTCCTCAAACTCGGCCATGGCGGTCTGCCAAACACCATCCACACTCCCAATGGATCGTTTCGCCATAGACGGTGTAGATGGCCTGCCAACATTCCGGACTCCTTGCTCATCCATCCCCCCAGTACTCTTCCCGCTGGCATARAATGCCACTGTCGGCAAAACAGTGGCTCTGTCGCGCCGTGCTGTCGCCGATGACCCAACCACAAGCTGTTCTGTCGCGTCCGCGCCACTGTTTGTGACGGGGATGCCCACATCTGCGGCGACAGCCGCGGCAATCAGATGATGCTCTAAGTTTGACGGCGGACTTGGGGGTCTTGCTTCTCTTTCGAGTGTGTCAACTGGCCCACCAGGAGACCCTTCCTCTGCGCCGTCAAACGAATGAGAAAGACTGCGTTGTGCGATGCTGCGCTGACCGTCGCGGCGGTGTCGCGTCGCCGTCTCCGCCAAACCAAGGGCCACCTCGCGTAGTTTGCCAACACGAAAAATTGTGGACGTGGCAGACACCATTGTGCTCGTAATCATATCGGCGATATCGCCTCCTGCCACGTCAAACCCGTCCGATCCACGCTCCATGACAACAGGCTGTTGTGGCTTGGGCGGTGACACATGGGGTAGACCTGGGGATATCAACGTCGACAAGTCCGGTAGAGAAACGAGCGCAGAGTCCATGGTCAGTAACTCGCCGGTACCCGGAAGACTGCCGGTGGGGCATGCGAGGCCGACATGGTCTGCGGCGCTCTGCTCGGCTGTGGGAGTGTGTGAGATATCACGTTCCGGGAGATCGTCGCCTTGACACATAACGATGGTCCCCTAACTCCCCTCCATCAATGCAGGCGGTGGCCGCGGTTGAACACTGCGAGGTGGGAGCATACTTTCTTGCTCCGCCGCTGCCAGTGGTTGTTTCACATCCGAGGTCACTGCAACTGAGACTGCCGCTCYGGCAGACGTGAGTGGATGCAGTGCACCGACAGAACCCTCGTCCCGCACTGCCGGAAGAGGACTGATCTCTCTCTGAACCTCGGGATGACGCATCAACGGTGCTGGACCCTGTTGCGATTCTGGGACTGCTGCGGAAGGCCCCATCGGAGCTGTCGCGTGCATACTCGAAGTGTCACCTCGTGGATGACCGCTCCCGCCATGCAGCTCGATCCGCTCCTCGCCGCTGTGATCGCTAAAAAAGTCCTCAGAAACTGGAATCTGGCCAGTTGCAGGGACTCGTGATAGTGGAATGCTAGCAACCCCACCATGACGTTTGCGCACACGTGAAGCGATAGTGTCTTTTTCCCTTGGTCCGCGTTTCAAGCGCCTCAGGTCACCGCCCGAGACAGGTCGTGAACCATCATCATGCACTCCATCTCGAGCGTCATCTACTGCTGTGCGGTGCTCGCCCCCTGCCCCGTCGGCGCGCATCGTGTCACCATGTGCAGGTCGTGGCCTATCTCCTCCGTCACCGTGATCATCGCCACTGGCGCCATCGTCGTCGCCCATGTTCGGGTGACGGTCGTCGAAATCGCTGTCGCCATCCTGTGCAGGCCTGCCAGTCCCGAAGAAATCCTCGTCATCGCTGGACGAGCTCTCGTACAAAAAGTCTCCCTCATCCCATTGCTGTCGAGGCTTGCGTACTAGCTCGTCCACTGCCCTTCCACGACTCTCGACACTACGCCTCCCGCCAGGACCTCCACGACCGCCTCGCCCGCAACCGCCCCGACAACCACCTCCGCGACCACCCCGACGACCATCTCCGCGACCGCCGCCACGACACCTCCTCCTGTCAGACTCCCGCAAGCGACGAGTGGCTCCCATGCGGGACACGACGYGCATCCTCTCTCTCGCCTGCGTCAACTCCTCCTTCGTGACCGTCACACGGGCTSCTCGGTCTGCCACAAGCTGCTGGTCGGTGGGCACCTCCTCCTCCTCCTGCTGCCAGTAGTGCACCCAGCTCCCATACGGATGTGGCCTGTCACTGGGAGCATCGTCCGACATAGCCTGCCTGTCAAGGAGCCGAAGGTTCCAATGGCATCGCAAGAGCTTCTCGGCCCGCGCCACCTCCAATCTGTTACGAGATTTGGAGTGGATGAAACTCCAACGGGACCAAGCTCTCTCGCAAGGCGACGCAGTCGCCCACACACGCAGTATCCTGCCAACGAAGAAGGCCGTGTGCGGGAACCTCTTCTCCTTCGACTCCCAGAAACAGGCTGGATGGGTATAGCTCCTCGCCGCCCGGTCCATGACCACGTCGTCGAACGGCAGCTCCGTGGAATGGAACTTGTCAATGGCAGTGAGGACCTCGGTGTGCTGATCCGAATGTTTCGGGTACCCAAACTGAATCAGAGCGAGTTTCAAACCGTGCTGCATCTCCTCGTCATCTGGCATCGTGCGGTCTCGAAACTCGGGGTCCAACATCATGGCAGCAACATGAGCAGGCGACTTGAACATGGTGCGGCGTCTGTCAAACACTTCAAGCAGCGCGTCCTGCTCGTCCTTCTCCAAAGCGGCACATGCAGACAAACAACGCGCGATCATCTCGTCGTACCGACGCAGAATCTTGCCAATCTGCCTCGTGTCGCTGTCCACCATCTGCAGCATGTCCATGATGGGATCCAACAACTTGCACAGCGCTCTCATATCCTCCCACCATTGAGGACAACCGACACATGCTGTGACCTCCGCAGCGTCGTCTCGAATCTTCTTCGTTGACGAAACAGTGTCCTTCCATCGATCATCAACCACCACCTGCATAAGATGGGATTGCAGCAGAAGAAGTCATCGAATCATAATCACATGCGTACTGAAGCGAGTCTCGGCGGGAAGCAGCAGAGCCTTCGTCGTGAAAGCTTGCAAAACTTCGTGAGAGTGGCTATGGCGCTTGAAAAACTTTGTGACCAAACGCGCCTGAGCAATGCGGGTCGCCACCCAGTCAATGCCGCCGATGTCCTCAAGGATGAGGTCCATGACGTGTGCCAYACAAGGAATCCAGAAGATGTGCTTGACACTCTCATCCTTCTGGAACACCTCCATCGCAGAAACGTTCGAACTGGCGGAGTCTGTGATGAAAGCGGTGATGTCGGCGAGCTTGATGTCAAGGGACTTCAACCTTCGCAGCCAAGCCTGCGCCAGAGCAGTGGCATCCTTCTTTCCTCGCATAACATTTGTCGCGACGTATGTGGCGCCCCGTGTAGTGCCGACGAGATAGTTGCACAACATCTGGCCCCGAATGTTGGTTCAACCGTCTGTCATTATCGTGCAACCGTAGGTAGCTGCAGTAGCGAGGACAGGTTTCACACACTTTTGGACTTCCACATCAAGCTCATCCAAAAGTGTGGTACGGATCATGTGATACGTTGGGGGTTTTGGGRTGGGGACTCCTGGAACCCCARGCGAGATGATCAACGTCAACATGCGTTTGAAGCTCTCAAGCTTCACACAGTTGAACGGCATGCCGCTCTCGACAATGAATCGCATGATCTGCAGGTGCCATGTATACTCCAGCGGGTCGTTGTAATACGAGGTCACCGCCTGCTGCCTGTAAGTGCCCATACCTAGCGAATCCCATACCCCGCCCCCGGCCGCAAGTGATGCGGTGGGGCCTGGACTCGGAGCTGYAATGTTGCGCAGATTCTGTAAAGGATCCAGTGTCCCAAAAACACTGTGCTGCGAGGTCGGGCCGTTCACGGGCACAGGAGTGGGTGACGAATCCGAAACCTGGACGGGCTCGTCGAGCTGGACGTTTCCCGCACCCTCAGTGGCCGTTGCAGCGGCCTCGCCAACAGGTGCCGAAGTCAAGTCTGGTGTAGGTCGTCGTGTTTGCGAAGGAGAGGGAGGCAACCATGGATATGCAGCGGATTGATGTCCTGTTGCGGGTGCTCCTGCCACGGTCGGACGTGTGTCTGTGCGTCGAACTCTTGGGACCTTGTCCCTGTTGCCAGTGAACAACGGGGCGASGCCTGATGATGTGCCAGCGTCCTTCCCCCACCCACCGCCCTCGACGAAAGCACGAGTGCCTTGCTCGTCGAACGGCACAGGTTCCCCGACACCTGAAACTGGCACGGTGCCTTGCGCATCAGGCTGCGTTGCCACAGATGGTCTGCCATCAACAGATGTGGGAATCGTCTGACGAAGCGGACGAGGGGGGAAGGGAGCAAGTGGTGCACATGGAGATGGCGCCACTTGCGAGGGGGCAGCGGTGGACGGGGGTGGCGGAACGACGTCATCGGGAAAACAAAGAGGTGGCCATTGAAAAGAGGGATGACCTAGAGGGAGACTCTGCAAGGCCTGCACGGCAGAAGCCAAATGTGCAGGACTCTTGGACATATCCTTTGACCAAATCGCGTGCCACACCGCCGGAGTGGCCACTTGGCATCTATACCCCTCGCCACGAAAAAAGTGTTCCTTCACCTCACGAGCACCCCCACATAGAGAACGACCGCATAACCTGCACAAACAACGGCGACCGTTCTTCCTCCCGATCGCAGTGGATCCATCTAAATAACGACCACGAGCAACGAAATGCCAAACAGGATCATCTCGTTTTCCATCCGCCTTTGGATCCACCTTAAAAGGGGAGTCAAAGGTCTTCGTCTTGTGACCTTTTCTACTACCCTCCGCCCTTTTCCCCGTTGCCGAGGAGGACTCCAAGGGGCCCTTCCCGTTATTGCCTCGAGGGTCAAACATGTTGTGGAAACCGAATGAAATCTGCAGAAGGGGTGAACTGAAACGAACTTCGACGCCAACGACAAAGAACTGCACCGAAGTTACTGAACAACCGACGAATCAACCTGTAAAAGATGGACAGTGACAGGAATGAACACAAGTT